TTGCTTCTGGGCCATTCCAGAGAAGTGATTTTTGGGCAATCTCAGAGGAAGAGGCGAAGACTAAGGAGAAAGTTGGTGTTTATCTCAATACCACGTGCTCCATGATCCTGGACAAAATGGGAAGTGGTGTGGGGACTTGTCTAGAGTGGAAGGTGACAGGGTCAATGCTTGTCTGGGTGCGTTCTCGGGGTAGAGATGCTGCTTAAGCCACGTTGGGAGTCTCATCATAAAAAGAAAAAATAAAAATAAATGGATGCCTGTGAGATGCCTGGAAAAAAAACCATCAGATTCTTCAGAGGGTGCATCTTTGAGGCTGGCTGGAAGGCGAGTCAGTCGGATGTGGGTGTCACACTGCTGTTGCACCGCGGTGTAACGCTGATGTCGATGTAAAGTGACACTGTGAGTCCCACCCCCGCTTGGTTCCACCTCTTTCCTTGTGCCAGTGCTAAAATTTGCTTCCCTGAACCCGGGTGTCTGCGCGTGAGCAAAGCGCTGAAAAGTTAATCCAACGAGGGAAAGTCCTGGTCTTTGTCTGCACGGAGACTTTTCCAGTTCCCTGCTCTTGGATGAGTTTTCTCCTGGATCCGTGGGAGCGAGGTGCAATGCCATCTCAGGTTTGTGCAATATTCCTGTTTTACTGGTTCTGCACTGTGATCCAGCACTGACTTTGAGGGAAACCCCTCAACCCGTGAACTCATAGGACTTTGAAGGAGCTTCCTTCCCTGTGTATAAGGTCACAGGGCTGGGATATGCCAAGGTGCCCCGGGGTGACTCCTGGCACTGGCTGAGGTCTCCAAAAGCTCGGGCAGCCCCACACCTTCATAGAATCATGGAATGGTTTGGGTTGGAAGGGACCTCAAAGATCATCCAGTTCCAACCCCCCTGCCATGGGCAGGGACACCCTCCACTACACCAGGTTGCCCAAAGCCCCATCCAACCTGGCCTGGAACACTTCCAGGGATGGGGCAGCCACGGCTTCTCTGGGCAACCTGTGCCAGTGCCTCACCACCCTTAGAGGGAAGAATTTCTTCCTTATATCCAACCTAAATCTCCCCTCTTTCAGTTTAAAGCCATTGCCCCGTGTCCTGTCACTCCACACCCTTGTCCAAAGCCCCTCTCCAGCTTTCCTGTAGCCCCTTTAAGTACTGGAAGGTGCTGGAAGATCACCCCGGAGCCTTCTCTTCTCCAGGCTGAACAGCCCCAACTCTCTCAGCCCCGGGGCATCGAGCCCCTTAGCTGTGGCATCTGGAGGTGCCAAGCAGCAGAGGTTTGGTGTGAAGTTGTTCAGATGAGAGGTGCAAATCTGGGTCAACCGAGCTGGGGTTGTCTCAGCCCACCCAGAGAGGCCCTGCTAATTCGCAGCAATAGGGAACCTTCCTGACCAGTCCTGCTGTCCCTAAGTTGCAGGGACAGGTGGTGACAACGCTTCCAGCTTTTGTTTGAGCTACCTCGAGCCTTGGTTGCTCCACAACATGTCACCTTCCTCTGTCTCTCCCAGTGAGGGAAGTCGCCGTGCTCGCTGCGATTATCTGCAAGAAGCACTAATGTCCGTGCGCGTCGGATTCTCCCGCTTCCTGGGAAGGGCTAGTCTGGGCACGAGGTGCCAACAGGGCAGATGGTACCTGGCAAGCCCTGAGCACCTGCCAAATGTCTGGCACCTCCTGCCCTTTGACAGAGGAGCTGCTTGCAAAGCCATCGGGGTGCGATGCAAAGGAGCGAGGAGAACAGGCTTGGGATGGAGCGGAGCAGCCGGGAGAAGCACGTGTTGGGACAGCCGGCCGAGATCCAGCGGGAGCTGAGCGGGAGCAGGGGCTGGAGCGTGGCTGGAGCGGTGGCACCTCCAGGGAGAGCTGAGGTCACCACTAATAGGGGAGATTTGTGGCCCACGAGAGTCCTGCTGCCACTTAGGGAGAGCAGCCACAGCAGCCCTTTGTCCCGAGGGTCTTGGCTCCTCTCCGAGCTTTGCTCCCTTTGACCACTCTGCAGCTATTAGGCACGTGGGACCTTTTTAAACACCCTGAATCCCCAGTTTAAATCCAGGCTGCAGATCCCAGGGGTGGTGCTGGAAGCATCCCTAAGCACTCCATACCGGTGGCACGCGACATGCTCGCGTGAGCTCCGTGCACACGTTGGCATCGCTCTCGTGAGCACAGAATCCCGTGCACGGGTGGCAGCAACCAGAGCGTGGACCACGCCAGGGCCACCGGGGAGCTCACCCCACCAGCCCCAGGCTGTGCCGAAGCCCCGGGCTTGGATCCTCGTGGCTAAATCCCAGCTGGTGCCAGTCTCCCTGTGTCCTTCTGCCGTAACTTTGCTTTGTGGCACCCGGCTCGTCCCCCTCTCCGAGGCTCAGCTCAGCTCTCCGGTGGTGGCATTTGCCAGGCACAGCCGCAGGCTTCGCTCCCACTTCCCGTTTTTTTCCCTGCCCCTCTCGAGGCTGGTTGCGTGGTGGATTTCAAAAGAGTTTAATCCCAAACTTATTGGATCAAGGGGGCATCAGCACAGCTGTGAGAGTCTTTCATTTTGTTTACTTTTCCAAGGGAACACCTTTTAAGACCTCCATTAAGAAAAAGGAAGCAGAAGGTAACAGAAAAAATTACTTCAGCCCTTTGGTATGACCGAAAAATAAACGAGAGGTGCGAGGTGTGGAATGGGAATATTGCTGCGAACTGCCTTGCGATGGCGGGCAGCACAGGCTTCCCTTTGCCCTTCATCTGAAAACCATCATTTTTATTTTCCTGCTTGCTTCAGCCGTGACTCGCCATTTCCCTCAGAGAGGGTGTTGAGATTAATTAATTACTTAACATTTGTAAATCACTTTGAAGATGGCGAGAGTGAGATAAGTACTGCGCGTTATTATTACAGGTTTCATTTTAATTGTAAATGTCTCTCTGGTTTTAACCTTGTTTTCTCCCAAAGACTGAGAAAACAGCCCCTGAGTAGAGCGGAACAGAAACCCCTGGACACCCGACACCCTGGCAAAGGACTGAGGTTTCGGGGATTGTAGAGCAGAGGGTGCGGAGAAGCCTTTGTCCCAGCTCTGGAAGCAGGAGATCCGCCAGCACACAAAGTGTTAACGACTCTTGCACGGTGATTCATTGCAACCCCACTTTGGGTATTCCATGTGGGGCTTCAGCATCTGGGTTCGGAAAAGGGAGGAGGTAGAACAGAACAGGACAGGAACAAGAAGGACATGGAGCTGCTGGAGCGGGGCCAGAGGAGGCCACGGAGATGATGGGAGGGCTGGAGCACCTCTGCTATGGAGACAGGCTGGGAGAGTTGGGGCTGTTCAGCCTGGAGAAGAGAAGGCTCCAGGGAGACCTTCCAGCACCTTCCAGTGCTTAAAGGGGCTACAGGAAAGTTGGAGAGGGGCTTTGGACAAGGGTGTGGAGTGACAGGACACGGGGCAATGGCTTTAAACTGAAAGAGGGGAGATTTAGATGGGATCTAAGGAAGAAATTCTTCCCTCTGAGGGTGGTGAGGCACTGGCACAGGTTGCCCAGAGAAGCTGTGGCTGCCCCATCCCTGGAAGTGTTCCAGGCCAGGTTGGATGGGGCTTTGGGCAACCTGGTGTAGTGGAGGGTGTCCCTGCCCATGGCAGGGGGGTTGGAACCGGATGGTCTTTGAGGTCCCTTCCAACCCAAACTGTTCTGTGATTCCATGATTCATTCCATGATTCTATGACCTGAACGGCTCTATCCCCGCTGGCTTTTGCTCCAGCTGCTCCGTGCCAGGGTAACGGCAGTTTTGTTAGGAATTGGCGTTAATGACGGTAATTCTTCTTATTGCATTAATGGGGGCTCAGTTCCTGCTGGGGAACTTGCTGCTGCTCCTCTTCTTGAAGGTGTTGGGGTGTCAGGCACCTGCTGCCAGCAGCCACTGTGGTGCCAGCCTGTACCTGGGGAGTGGGAAGAAGTGTAAGAGCTGGGCGAGTGCCCTGCAGGACCTGTCCGAGGTTCTCCCCTGGTTTGTGCTGGGGGGTCTTTGGAGGTAGAGGTGGTCTTTGTGCTTAACCACCCTCAGCAGGAGCCAACATTTTGCTCACGGGGGTTGCCAATGCCGCCCTTGGCTCTGTTCTCCAAATGAGACACATCGTGGCTGGGGGGGGTGGTTTTTGATGAACGGATGAGCTGGTGTTTGTCAAAACTGTCAAAGATTCCAAAGCCCCCTTCATGCTGGCGGGGGGGTGCGTTGGCCAGGGGTTGCATCTCGTGACAGCAGGTTTCCCCAAACTTCTCTGGGGTGACCAGAGAGGACGGTGGCCCCGTCTCCGCTCAGCAGCAGGACGCACACCCGCTGCTGCCATCTTCCC